CATCGTTTTCTCGCTATTTCAAAAAAAGTTTTGCTACCTAGATGGGTGAAACGAATTTTCCGAAGCACTTCTGCGCAGTTTTCAGTGTAGATATTTTTGAACCAGATAGAAAAAGGGTTCCAAAAACGGAAAACTTGAGTTTCAAAAAATCTACTTTTTTGCCATTTTTCGCGATCCCAAAGCCGCGTGCCCCTTAAGCCTCTACACAAAGCAGGTGATAAAACTCAAATAAAGAATTATCGACCAGTTTCATTAACCTCTACAGCTTGTAAAATTCTCGAGCAAATAATTCACAAACACATTGTTACATTTCTTGATGAACACAAAGTACTAACAAAAGCGCAGCATGGATTTAGACGTATATATTCTACCACTACACAATTGGTTGAAACCATCCACAATTTTGCTACCGCACTAAATGAAGGTGAACAGCTAGATGCCATTTTTATAGACTTCCAAAGGCCTTTGATAAAGTTTTGGATAAAAAATCACTTCATAAACTGCAATATATCTTGAAAAATCCGAAACTTATACAGTCGAGCCCACATATAACGGCCCCACTTAAAACGAACAATATCCGCGTGACCGTGAAAATATACATTCTTTCAATGACACAAAATCACACTTACAACGAACGTCTCCGAGCGCCGCTGATCGGTTACAGCAAACGGAGTCAGCGGTCTGCCGACTTACTGGGTAAACCGATTTCGACCACCGATCAGGCATTGGCGAGGTGCCCATACATTCTATTGTTAAACGCCGACCCTGTCTCCCCAACCCTCTAGATGCCGTTCTCCCCAACCCATGGAGGAAGGAAAATTGTTTCCTTCCTTCATGCCCCGACTGCTTTTTGTTACGCACCCCTCCGTCCCCCCGTCCCCCGCTACTCTGTCTCCCTGCTAATCTAAGCACCCCGCATCACCAGACAAGGCCCGTGTTTTCACACTGCCACCGATCTTTTGAAGATCGGTCGGCCATCTACCCAGTTTTTGATCGCTAGTACTGTCGTTGGCGTCGCCGGCCTGGAGTGACCAGACCATTTGCCAACATCGTCGGCCACCGACTGTATCCAATAGTCTGCATATAGTGCACGAGCATACGCTGCCCCACCAACTCTGATAATTTGCCATTCATTTCGTGTTAAGGACTTGTTCTTGCTCACTTCGCACTCGCCTCAGCATGCCTTCCGCATGCGTGCGGAAGTGTGAAAACGGTTAATTTGCGCGGAACAAATCGCTAACTCTCAAAGTTGGTGAGGCCACGAAACCCGCCGGCGCAACAAAACGATTTTGTGACCACGGCCGCCGATTCTTCGAACACCGCCGCACGCATCGATCCAGGCGGCCACGCTTTGACTTCTGCACGCGCAGGCACTCTTTCCAAGTTTTTCTACGTGCGTGTTTCGCGGACCTTTCAAGCAAGCTACTCAACCTGCCTTCTTCCCACGTGTTTTCGTCTTCAAGGTCGCCCTCCCGCCACATCCTGCCCTCTCTTTATCGCAACTCCTTGCCCTTCTCACGCAAGTCTGCCCTCCTCTCTTGATCACAGCCCTTTCGCCCGTCTGCACCGTTCCGCTACGCCTGCCATGCTGGCTCGTATTAGTTTTCGTTTTCTGGCTGGAAACAGGCCCAGAGCTGTTCCACGTGTTCTGGCATGTGTGTCACGTGTGCTTGCTCTTGGTGTGCGTGTGTGGTCATGGTGACCGACGGGAGGACTAGCACGCTTTTTCCTGCTGCTCAACAAAACGTCGGAGGTGTGACCGCTTGGCTTGAGCGTAATCCACGCCTTAGGTGTCGCGTTGCGGAGCGCTTGCTCATAGCTGTTGACCACCTGGCACCAAACTTGCAGCTTCGGGCGTCCCGGTATTCCGCTGAGCGTGGAGACGGTGAATATTTCGTGGGCGGCGATGACGGCTACATGCGCGCGAAACTGTTCTCACGAGGCCGACTTCGTCGACGTCGGGCCCGATGCTGAGCCAGAAGTTTCCGAACTGCGACGGCAATTTGTGGCAGCGCGTCGTCGATTCTGACCTGGGAGAGCGGGTGGGACATCTGTTGCGACGGTTTAATTACGGCCGATGATGATGCCGACACTGCGGATTCGTGCATGAGTTGGGACATTGTGAATGAACTACGTGGCGAGAGCGATTTGAAAGAATCGGATTGCGAGAACGACGAAACTTTGGAGCCAGTGCCTCATGCAGCTTACGCCACAGGCCTCGGCGAGCGAGCACTCTGCCGTTTTAAATGAACTCGAGACCGCCCTTATCGCTTCTGCTCTCGAAACACGTGAATCACAGATTTTCGGGGCAAAAAAGTTTGTGTTTTCACTCGCAACTTTTTTTAAAAGATGTGGTTAATTTACTACGAACTTCGGGATACAGCAAATGGATTCTGCATCACGCTCAGGTTCGTCATAAGCAGGCTCGACTGTAGTATAGATACCAAGCGTATCTTGAAAACAGGCAACAATTTGTTTCACTTAATGACAGCCGTTCCAGCAAACTTCCTGTGGATTCCGGCGTACCTCAGGGTTCGGTACTCAGACCTCTTTTATTTATATTATATATAAATGATATAACAAATGGCCTTTCTGTAAATGTAAAGCTTTATGCTGATGATTGTGTGTTATACAAAAATGTAACAACTTCTGGGGATTAGATAAGGCTCAATAATCAATTTAACAAGGTCGTCTCTTGGTGCCAGGAATGGCAAATGTCAATAGTGCAACAAAACTGTTTATATGAAAATAACACTACAAGAAAATCCTTTATGTTATCAGTATGGCACGAATAGCGTCAATCTTACAGAAGTTACAGAATACAAGTACCTTGGATTATGGATAACTAATGATCCAAACTGGAACAAACACGCCGACATAACTACAGGTAAATGTCTACGTAAACTTTTTTTTCTAAAGCGATCCTTAAAATATTCTACCCCGTCTGTACCCATGTTGGCATATAAAACAGTCATTCGTCCAATGTTGGAATATGCTGTAATATTATGGGATCCATTCACTAAACGTAATATTAATCAATTAGAAAAAGTGCAGAACAAAGGCTTACGTTTTGTTTGTAACTGCTACGGTAGAACATCCGTATCTGAATTGTTGCTAAAAAGTGGTCTGCAACCCGTTGTGGACAAAAACCGCACATGCCGGCTTAAGTTTTTCCATCAATTAATAAATGGTCACTTAAATGTTGACACTGCAGGCATCCTTCGGTATTTTTCCGGTTACGCAACTTGCAAGCGATATAGTAAAACGATAACTCCTTTACCTTCACGGATTAACTGCTACAAGTATTCGTTCTTTCCTAGAACTATTAATGACTGGAATAACCTGACAAATGATGTCGTTTTACACAAGAAACTGTCATTGTTTGAAAACAGCATTGCCTAAACCATCACTACATTTTGCATTGTAGCATTTGTTTTATTGTAATTATTGTGTTAGTCCGTAACCCGTATTCTATGTGTTACATTATTATGTGTTGTTCCTTGAAAAATTTGTTGAAGTGAGCGTTTTCGCACTTTCGCCTTGTATACTCACATCGTAAGATTTTTAAAAAGTGCTTGCATTATTTCTGTGTATGTTCCGATTCTCGAACATTTTTCCCACCCTGCCATGATCTTTCAACTGAAGGATCGCAGTAGTTATAAATAAATAAATAAAAGGCAGCTTAGCTACAATGCTAGAGTGCGATGGGGAGAAACATATGGAAGATCTAAAGGGGGCCCCTGTCATCGCACAGTGGGGTGATCTCTTCGTGGATCATCAGAAAAGCACAAAGGCGTGATAATGTCATGCAGCGAATTCACCAGTACAGCTTCATAGCTGACAACCCTCCTGATAAGCACCTATAGCTAACTGCCTAGCAGCGCACGTGGCCTAGCACAGTGGCATGCGCATAACTCTAACGCGACGTGCTGCCATTCATACTGCCTCTTTGAGCAATATCATAAAGTGCGCAGTGCAGTATACTTTCGTGAACAAAAACAGCTTGCCAATTCAGCACCCTTGTGCGGTAAGGAAAAAAGTGGGCGTGCCATTACGAACGCTTTCCCGTCAATTGCGCGCGTGAAACACAGCAAGTACCCTGGCAGTGTTAGCATGACCTTAGCAGGCAATGCGCTGCGCACAATTAGGAATGATCGACTTCACGCGGCAGCAGATGCAGTGGGTCAGGAGAGATTTGCTTACAGTAGTGCATCAAAAAACGCTGGATGAGTCATCTGGTCATTTGTCACACACAGGCTTTCTGCCCAAATCGTTACTGGTGCATTTGCTGCATGCTCCACATCATAGTTTCAAATGCTCCATGAAGAAAGCTACAATTCTCTTTACGTGTTGCTGGCATCGGAATCACTGATCACGAGATGCACATTTGCAATTGGCGACTGGCATGCAGTTGAGCAGGGTTAACGGCAGCTAAAGAGTGTTCAGAAGAGCCTCAATGCCCACCGAAATGCCTGTTAAGTAAGCGGCTGGCGGCATTGAAGCTGTCTGAAACGTGGCTGTGGCAATTATTTGCTTGAGTCAAACGAAAAAAAGAATAAATTAAATTTCTGAACTATGCATTTTTTTTTCGGATAATTGCATAATTCATTGGGACCAAAAAAAATATCATATGTTGACTTTGATGCATCACAATCATTCACATAAATATATCAACGAGGAAACAAATGTGCACACATTTAAAAATAAAAAGCCAACGAGCATTAGAGCTAAATGAGGCCATATTTGATGAAAATTGGTTCCCCTCGTGGATCGTTCAAGGAAAGAAAAAAAAAAAGGCAGTGGAAGGGGGAGTCCTGAATACAAATTTTTCTGACATTTTCACCTGGATAACACAAATTGAAACAGCTTTAACAAGCTGCGAACATATAACAAGCAGGAATCCAGTGCTTTCACAAATTTTACATCTCCGGATGCTACTGGGCTTACAATGCCATAAAGATAAAAGGGAACAAGAGAGAAGAACACAAAACAGGACTTACCCCAGGTCCCGGCGAGGACCTGATTAGGATATCGTTGGCCTGGAACTGTTTGATTTCGTGCAAGAGGGGGCCCGGAAATACCTGCCGCAGGAAGGATTTCTGGTCCTCTGTGAACGATGGCTCAGGCAGGAAGGTGATCCACTTCTGTCTCTCTTCTGCGAAAGGTACGGAAACATGCTCGTACAAAAATTGCGCAGAACATGGAAGATTTCCATGTCAATTTGGCATCGGCTCTGCTCGATATGTCTAATCGTCAGTCGTATCAAACAGTCGTGACACCCCCAAGAGGTCCCGTGAGAAAACATACCCCCACACTATGCATGCGTCCAACTTTTGCTAGCTTCATAATATTTGTTGGTGCTTATAAAGGGCCAGTTAAGAGGCTAGGACTTTTTCTTAAACAGGCTCCAACATACCGTTTTATTTTTCGAAACAAGCTCGTCAATTCGTACAGTATATCCCCCTCAGTGAAACAGGTGCTACGGTGCTGATCTGTTGACCCAAATGCTGCAGATTCAATCCCGGCCACGGGGATCACATTTCATGGAGGCGAAATAGTAGAGGCCCGTGTACTGTGCGATGTCGATGCAAATTAAAGAACACCAGACGGTTGAAATTTCCGGAGCCCTCTACTACAGCGTCTCACAAAATCGTATCGTTGTTTTGGGACGTAAAACCCTAATTATTATTTCACACAGTGAACTGCGGCAATCACATTAGAGGATCTGCACGCCCCTCCATTTCGAAAAACAATTCCTGCACTTCTTTCTTTCTTTCACATGACCAAACCTCCTCATACCTGCAGTGACGCAGGTTTGCCCATGGGTAACTTGACATGCCACTAAGCTCGTGCATTGGTCATTCGCCCTACGAAATGGCATATTGACTATGCAGTGACGTTGTTTCAGCCATGCAGTCCGCATTTTCATTATCCTGAGCTGCTCTCTTTTACTTTGTAGGGCCCGAGACTAATGGGAAAAGGGGTATTGCCAGAACAAAAGCCTTCGAGATAAAGTGGTTTCTCACTACTTTAGCGCTAGGGGAAGGGTGCTCCTTGCACCACGTTACCAGCCCACACTGATATGACACGTGCTCATGTGGAAGCCCTGCTAGGCCGTTGACTGTGAGCCGATGACTTATTGCTGACGTCATGTCACGTTGCAGAAGTCCAATTGACGGGCTACACCTTTCCCTCCCTATGGTTGGAGAAGGGTGGCGAAGCCGCGCAAGAATTCGGAGCCATCCGAAACAGATATTTGTGTAACTTTATTACAGCATGTTCTCACAAAATTCCTGCAGCAGCATGTTCACATAGCTAAGGTGCACATATTTCTCTTCATTACAATTTTTGGAGCTTGGGGTTGTTTACTGGCCCTTTAACGTCCTAAAAACAAAATACTGTCACGTGGTCACAACATTGAAGGCAGTGGTCGGCATGTTCAAAACTAAACTTTTTGTTTGGGGGAACCAGTGCCAGGAAAATGACAATAAAATTTACAAGTGATTGACACTGTATACTGATAGCGGTGAGAACATGTGTCAGCTGTCAGGTTATCTGATCTATGGTGAGGTGCGTAAGAATTTATGCATGTGGCACGGAACATTCATGCTTGGTGCTCGCATAAGCTGTAGAATAAACTTGAATATTTGTGTCCAGCACACAAATATAACAGAATAATCTTGCATATGCTTGTGTGAATATTCAAGCACTTTGAATGCAAGCGAGTGCGAACACATCACTAAGCAGAGCGATTTTTGACATTCTTGATCTTGCAGCACGAAAGCTGCTAATTCTGTACACACGGCATGGCATGTTGGGTCATCATGACGGCCACAGTCAGTCGGGAGCCTCATTAACCTTTTATGCCCTTTCTTTTAGAAAGAGATGTGGTGTTACCAAACACCTTATTTCTTAAATAGATTTTAATAAAAATTGGCACAATGTCTTTTTAGTGCTACTCTTGAAATTTCATGAGCATATCTCTACGAATTTTTCGATGTACAGTATATTTCTCTTTCTGGTTTTGTTCTAAATCTGACTCGCTTAAAACACAGAATAAAAAACTCTTTCAAAGCGCTATGCAATCTAAGATGTCGAATCGAGGGCATGACAACCATAGCATTTTTTTATTCGCTACACAATTTATTTTACTTTTCATTTTTCATGAGGTTACTGTGCAACAAGCCATCAGCCTGTGCGCAACATTTCAAATGGCTAATTATCAAACAGCCACAATGAAAAAGCAATATTGTCTCGCCCTGGACTGTAGATCAAAGAATATAGAAGAAAAGACGAAACTGAACTGGACGCAGTGGATGCTAAGAAATAAGCGGAACAAGCAAAGCAGAGCAACAAAAATCGTTTTGAGAAAACTACATTTGAAGTTTTACCAACGATATTCTATCATCAAAAGGCACAAAAGTCATAATCTCTCAAGTACTTTGAAATGTACAGTTTCTTGACTGCACTGCCTTCAGTGTGAGGTGCCTGGATTCCCTAAACACATGTGGAATACAGTGAAAGCTCGTTAATTTGAACTTCAATAATTCGAACTTATGGATAATGCGAACTGTAAGTTGTGGTCTGGCCAAGCTCCATACAAGACTATTGAATAAAAAAGCCCATTAATTCGAACGCGAGTAGGTTCCGCCGCAGATAATTAGAACTACGCGCCACTGTGCAGCTTGGCTAGTCACTCGACAGCAGCTTGGCTAGTCACTCGACAGGGCGGCTGCCGATTTACGAGGCGGCGTTGACAGAAAGTGGAGAGAAAAACGGAGAAACTGGCATGGAGGCGAGAGTGCAGAAAATAGCGCCACTTACTCTTCACCCCCTTCCCTCCACAATCTCTCTCTCTCTGCGGCTGCCTGCTCTCCGTCCTACGTAACCTCCAAGGTTTTTTTTTTTTTTTTTTTTTTGAAGGGCCAATCTCTGAGCCTTTGAAAATCCTGCGTAGTTATCGCTGATAGACGACAGATGGCATGACCAGCATACAGCAAATCGGGGGCGTCGTAGCTTCGCACAGCCTGTCTCTGCAGTATCTGTCTCGGACGTACGTCGTACACCTCGGTTGTTGGTGCTGAGAGTAGCTTCCGACTGTCACAATTCTTTGTGTTGGTGTTAGGCCTCGGCTAACGTTTGTTGCGGTAGCACCGGTAGTAGCTTCCCGTCTGTCGCAATTCTGCTGCTCCAACTTGATGGCATGTGCCCGCAGCAAATACGATGCCAAAACACTTCAGGAGAAAGCCGATATCCTGCGGGGATGGGACGCCGGACTCTTGCCTAAGCAAGATATCGCGAAAAAGGATACTGAAAACGACGCCAATATATAAAAAATAGGAGGACTATTGAAAACGCCTTAGAGGCAGAAGTTGCGAGCAAAAGGAGCAGGTTGTGGCCCGCAAAGTATCCTGACCTCGAGAAAGCGCATCTCATTAGGATAAAGGAAATGCGTTTGCAGGACACACCACTGAGTGGCCCAGTCATACTAGCAAAGTCAGCGGACTTCGCCCTGCAGCTAGACTACGACGACTTCGCCGCTACAGATGGGTGGTTGCACCGTTTTCGCGAGCGCTACGACCTCGTTTTCCGTGCTGTGTCGGATGAAATGAACGCCGTCAACATGAAAACGTGTGAAGGTTGGCGCTCCGAAGTGCTTCAAGGCTACATGGAAAAGTATTCTCCGCAAGACATACTTAATGCGGATGACACTGCCTTATTTTTCAAATTGCTGCCCGCCAAAACTATCACGTATAAAGGCGACAAATGTATGGGAGGGAAGAATTGTAAATAACGGATAACTGTGATGGTTGCTGCAAACATGACCAGGACCGAGAATTTGCCTCTGTTTGTGATAGGCAAATCGAGAAGTCCTCTTTGCTTCAAGAACATCCGGTTCCTCCCATCAGACCACGCGGCTAACAAAAAGGCCTGGATGACAGGGAATTGTTCGCACAGTGGCTGGGGAAGCTTGACAAGAACTTCGAACACTGTGGCTGCAAAGTCCTGCTTCTTGTGGACAACTGTTCGGCTCATAAAGTCAACATTGAGACGAAGGCCATTGAGCTGGCCTTACCTTCAGCAAACACGACAACGGTACTGCAGCTCATAGACCAGGGTATAATTAGAAATTTAAAATCATTTTATCAGCGCCATGTGTTGGAACGAATTATTTTGTGCAATAACTACCAAGTGACACTCCTAAGTGCACCACACATGCTTGTGCGCACTTGGGAGCAAGTAACAGCGCTTACGATAGCAAATTGCTTTCGCCACTGTGGCTTCAGCACCGAAGCTCTGCAAGCTGACGAGCCACCAGTGCTCGAACACGGCGTCACCGCCCCCATGGGGGACGTTTTGGAAGACGTCTTCTTTGCGGACTACGTTGATGTGGACTCAAGTGCAGTGGTGTGGAGTGCACTCACAGATGGCGACATAATATGTCAGGTGAGAAGTGCAGGACCGGTTGCTGCCAGTGACGATGATGAGGAGGAGGACGAAGCACCAGTGCGCCCTCTGCTGCGGAAGTCATGGCCGGATTGAATGTCGGCCGTTTTAAGTTTTAAAGAAGGCGAAGAAGAGGCCTTCCACCAAATTCACTCGTTAGAGCAAAAAGTGCTGGCTGTTGCCTTCAAGGAGAAAAGCAGACCGCGACCACAAATTAAAAAAAAAAAGTTTTATGCCCTACTCGTATGTACTATTGTTGTTCTTCACTTTCGTTAGTTCGAACTTTCATTAATTCAAACTGAGGCGACTTCTCCTTGCGGTTCGAAATAACGAGTTTTTACTGTATGAGCTTCGGCTTGTTTTATGATGTCAAAGCTCTTCCACATGTGGTCTTCTGTTGTGCTTGTGTTCCCCTTCTGTTTTCCAAAAATCAGTTTCTGACTATAAAGAACATGTTGCATAAACTTAAAACGAAGTTTTTTGTACAAGTTGCAGTACAAAACATGCCAGAAAGTAAGATATTATAATCTGATTAGGCCATATATTGTGACAATTTTCAAGCTTTCTTGTATTGATGCTATCACTAACATAATTAGCACTCTTTATTGCATTTGATCATTGAATCACACCTATTGGATACTAAGAGTGGCCCTCATCATGCCAGTCTATCCCTTCCTCCAAAATAACAGGCTGTTAGGACAAGAAATT